TAGAGACACGGAAAAAACTGAAAATGCAGGAATATCAGGGAAAGATGGAATTCTTACACATGTACTTACCAAAAAGCCCAAAACACTGCATGACAAAAACAAGTGTAAAGTGTAACATGTACAAACTATAATAAGACAAAAAGACAATATATTTCTTCCTTCTTACATGATGCCACTTACTCAACATTTTTAAGAAAGATTTTCCCTAATGATGTCTTAGAGGCATTACTTCTGATACCTGTTAAGGGGAAATACCACATATATTCTTACGAAAATATTCTATTTAAAGGCTATCATAGTTTGTCTATAAATCATTATCAGTTGGTAAATTTTGATGAGCATTTAAAAATCCACTCCAGCCATTTCATCTGCACCTGTATTTTTAGGCACTCAAGTGTAAACATGAAAATTGTTAGTTGTTAGTGCAACAAGAATTGTAGGTGTAATCTCAAAATCAAATTATAAGCTTTTCTTAAATTTTAGCACACACATCTTGGTTGAAAGATCTACTTGGTATCAATATTATTTTAAATGTTTAACTATGATAGAACTAATTTTTTTTGTAATAGTCAGCTAGTCATTGTTTCAATAAACATGTACAAGAATATCTGTGAAAGAGAATAAAGCAACAGAGGCATAAGTCAGGGAGAGCTTTGCCAAGTACACACACATCCTCATATATGAAGAAAAACAAAAATAAAATACAAATTAGATTGTATAATTAGGTTTCTTATAGGAATTCAGAAAATAGAGTATTTTGGTTACAGTCAGTTAAATCGAAGTTGGCTTTATTCTTAATTTTGAATTAGAACTTATATATGAGTCTCAAGTCAGACTTGTGGGTGCTCTGACGTTCTTCTTCATCATCAGTAGTGTCTACTTTGGTGTCCTTGATATCCATTATTTTTATTCGGTAGAGATTCCTCACTATTTGTCAGATAAAACTTTCCCTTCCTTTTCTGTAACTAAAATCCCTTTTCTTTGGGATTCCTGAAGTTTATGGTTTTAGGCACATATAAACGCAAGTGACCATGTAACTGTTTTTCTCAAATGCCATCTTAACATCGCATAGATAATCGTGTACTACCAGAGCCTCTGCACCCATTCTCTCCTCCCCTCCCCCCACTTTACCTTCTCTTCTTTCACTGTTCTCTGTTCAACCCAGCCCACTCCCAGTCCATCAGACATCTTCCTATGATAGAACATGCCTACAGACTTCTCCTTTATGTTTCCTGCCATCTGGAACAGCTTTTTCTGCTTCATCCACTGTGTTGCTCCAAATCTTAGGGGAATATGTTCTAAAATTGTTTTTCTCCTTTAATCTTTGTAATTGTACTGTTAAACTCATGAAGTGATCATTTAAAAAAAAACTATATAAATAAACCCATGAAGATGTGTGTTTCTTGTGCAAATTAAGACTTATAAAAATATAAACTACTAGAATTATTTAACTTGGAGAAAAAAGATTGAGTGAATTACTAACATTTAAATACATAAGGGATAACATGATTGTCGAGGACTAGCTAATACTTGTTACACATTAAAAGGAAACATGCTCTAATTTAAGTAAAAAGATTCCTCAGTGAGATGTAAGGGAGAATTGTTAATGTTAATAACAAAAACATTGTTAAATAATGAAATGACTCACTTAAGTTGGTTATCTCTATTCTTTTTGTAGCAGCCAAATAGTATATCTGTTCATGTGCTTTAAATCTGATAAATATTCATGCTTTATGAAGGAAGAAGGGTGTGTGTGTGTGTGTGTGTGTGTGTGTGTGTGTGTAAGGGAGAGAGAAAGTTAGACAAGCATGGACAGAAACATACAATATTGGGGAGCAAGTCACAAGGAGGAGTGTGGCTTGTTAAATGAGATCCTTGACAGTTGTATTCTGTTCTTGGGGCTGATGAGTATTTTTTTAAAGTATTTTTGAGAGAACAGTGTTTTCTACTTTTACATTTCTATATTTCACAGGATAAAGCTTCTGCTATAGAAAAAACATAACATCGAAACAAAAACAAGATTTAACATGAAATTTAAAAGTTGTATTCGTAGAGATTTTTTGAGTTATGTATTATTCACCATACTACTGGAGAGTAAATTTCATAAATGTATAATTTTTGTACTTATAAATACCATCCCATCTTGTTCCCGAAAGAACTGAAATGATAGCATTTGATTATTTTATTGGAATAATAGCTTACAAGATCAAGACAAAATTTTTGTTAAATGTTTATTTTGTTTCACGTGTTGCCAAGTGAAAAGTGATGAATTTCACATAAACTTTTATATTTCAAGAAAAGTTTCTATTTCTCCTAGAGAGACTATATTATGTAAAAATGTTGGCTCTTGGCTTTCCAAACTTTTACTATTATTTGTTAACCTTGTTATTTAAACTGCATGGAGATCTTTTTAAAGGGATATTTTATTTTTGAACTCATAAAAATGTTAAAATAAACAAACAGGAAAGGATATAGATGGAATCTGAACTATTCTTATATGCAAAAGAGTTGGCTGAACAAAAAATAGCAAGGGTCATTGCTTCGGGAACTAAAATCTAGAACTTCCAAATAAGACTTTTCTTTCTATTTGCTATGTACAGACTTTGTGCATAAATAAATAAAATAAACAACTTAATAAATCTTATAGTTAACTGTCAATGCTAGAATTCAGAATTTTTTTTTATGTTTAAGGAAATTAAAAGGGCTATTTGGAGTATTTGTTACATTTAAAGGACTTGGTAAAATTCAATTTAATATCCACTGTTAAATACAAATACAAATTTGGCTGAAGAGAAGTTTTAATTTTTAGCAGGTAATGTATATTTTCTTATAACAGACAATAGTTCAAAGGGAAGGTTACTACTATCCATATTGGACATTTGAAAAAGAAATATAAACACTGTCAAAAGTCAATCAAAATGACAGGAACATCATGTTTGGAAAACTTGGAGGGGGATTTTCTCAAAATTTTTTAAGGAGTTAAGTACTAGTAGCATACTTAGGTGAAAGCTTTGTGGCTTCTAAATGAAAAGAATATATGAGATAATCATGCAGGTAGTTTTCTGTGTTTACATAACACACACAAGATATATATGGCAAACTTTACCCAGAGTATTATTATATTCCATGTTATAATTTGGTTTATTTTCAATCACAAGGATAAAACATCTATTAGTAAGAATCACACATTTCAAGCCTTCAAAACCAGAAAATCCCACTATAATTTGTAGTTTCTAAAATCTGTTTATTTGAAGAACTTCATGATCATGTAAAATATTACAATTATTTGAAGAACACTTTTTTAAAAGTTAAGCTAAAACAGCATCGGTCTTAAAAGTAAATACAATTGCAAAAAGGCATACAAAATGTCCTATCTTTTCAGTCTATCTTTTCAAGCTTAACCACCTAGAAACAGGCTACTTTACCTATAATAGAAGAGAATTAAGTGTCTTTAAATATGCAAATATTTTCAGTATTTGAGAATAGCCATATTAAAAAAAAATAAGTTATTTTGATAACCAGGTTGCAATAGGGCAAGTCATGGTAACCTTCCATTTTTAAGATTCAGTTCCAAAAGGCAATTTTATATCCTATTATTCCAAAGGGTTTGATGCTTTATTTCTTCTTCCTCACATGTATGATGATTTCTGGATGTTTTAGTGTGGGGCATCACACCGGTGCAGCACACTTGGGCTTGCAGTGCAGCCCAAGGCATTTGCAGCAACTATTTCCCACTAGGAATGTAAGGAGCTAGGAGGTTACAAGGCTTGAGGAAACAATCTAGAAAACCACAACACAGCTTGTTGGTCTTTTCCCCGCAAATAACCTTTTTAAACCAGATCCATAAAATGCAGTTTATTATCTAACATTTTTAAGGATAATCTTTTGTTAAATGTTAACAAAAGAACGACTATCCAAATTCCCTTTAAAATGCAATCCTCAAAAAATATTGAACTCTCAAGTCTTTTTGGAAAGTGCTTAAATCATCTGGAGATAAATATCATTTGGTGTCCTTGTTTTCTAACAAATGGCTTTTTCCATTGTTTCCATTAATTTCACCCATATTCGTTTTTTAAAAAACAAGGCCCTTATCCTCATCAGCAAAACACAGATGTATGATTTAGCATATAAAACCGGTAATTACATAGTAATTTATGAAAGATTATTTTTTTTTCTCTTTTCGTCAGTTTTCAAGAAGTCTTCCCGTGATTAACTGTAAACAGGAATGGTTTACATCTCAAATTAGAAGCCATTAATTAGCATGACGAAGTCAACTGCAAGATACAGATTATTTAAATTATTTAATCACTATTCACCTTGGCTAAACTGTAGTATACTCTTTCAACATCCTTCGGTAGGTTATCGATCTGTCACTAAATTACCTCCAGATTAGTTAGAGATAAATATTAGCTTCCTCTCCTTTCCCTCAGGTTTACATTCTCCCTTCTCGTAAACACTTAAAAAAGCTTTAAGGTTCTTTAATTCCAAATACCTAATTAGCCATCACTAGCGTTTTTGTAAAAAGGAAAAAGAGTATCTGAAGTACAAATCAAGAGTTCGCTTTGCCCGTTTAACAATAAAAAACATTTTAAAAACGTACGCCAAAGGCAATGGCAGTAATAAAAGAAATATGCAGAGGTGGCTTCAGCAAATAACGGGTCTGCAAAACGCAAGTGCTTAACAAAAAGCAGCCCAAACCTCTATTGCAATATACAGCACTCCAATAAATTACACAACACTTGCACAGGCTGCAGAAATAACGCAGGACAAGACTTACACAGATGCCAATCCGCAGCATTTATACACATGCACATGGCAAGAGACAGAAACCAAACACTATCATTCAACTCGGGCAGGGTAGCGCGATCCCGAGCTTGCCCAGCGTGAGTGCTCTCTGCGTGTGTGTCTGTGTACGCGCGTGAGTGAGACCCATCCTTGGGGCATTTCCCCTCTTTGGGCAGTTTTGCTTCATTTGTTTCCTATTTCTGCTACATAGAAACTAACTTCCATCTCAGCTCCAGCCAGCGCCGCTGAATAGAGCCTGTGCTGCGGCTCCGTGTGCGTCAGATCCCTCCGCGGAGCCGTCCCCGGCCCCCTCCCTGCCACTATCGGCCTCCACAGAGAAAGCGCCTTCCAGCCAACCGGCGGCTTCGGCTCCGACATCTTCTCCGGCTGGAAATAAATAAATAAATCGCACGCCCTGCGGGGAGGAGCGGGTGGGGGTCGCGCCGTGCCGGGTGCGGAGCACTGGGGACGAAGGGTCGGAGGCACTCCTTTTTTAGCGCCGGGGGGCGGGTGCGCGGCCCGGTGCCGGGGCCGAGCCCGGGGCCGCGAAGGCGGCGGACTCCTTTCTGCGGCGGAGGGATCCGCGGCGGAGGCGGCCACGGCCGTAGCCGCTGCCTGAGAGTTGTTGTTTCCTCCTCCTCCTCCTCCGCCTCCGCCGCCGTTGCTTGAATGGTGGAGCCGAGGCTCGGCTCGTGAACACACACTGACAGCTATAGGGCAGGCGGCGGCACCGTCCCCGCTTCCCCTCGGCGGCGGGGTGTCCCGTCGGTGGCCCTGAAGTGACCCATAAACATGTCTTGTGAGAGGAAAGGCCTCTCGGAGCTGCGATCGGGTAAGTCGGGGGGCTGCCGGGGCCGCTGGCACCGGGCGATTCCGCCCGCGGTCCCCCGCCCCCCGCCGCCCGGCCGCTCAGCCTGTGTGTCTCCCCGTCCCTCTCTCCCGCGCAGAGCTCTACTTCCTCATCGCCCGGTTCCTGGAAGATGGACCCTGTCAGCAGGCGGCTCAGGTACGGCGGCGCGCGGCGCGGGCCGGGCCGGCGCTCGCTGCTCGCGGGCGTGGGGGAGGGAGGCGGCGGCTGCGGGGCCGCGGCCCGGGGCGCGGGGCTCAGCTCTCCCCGCTTTGTTGTTGCAGGTGCTGATCCGGGAGGTGGCCGAGAAGGAGGTAAGGGCGGCGGCGGCCCGGCGCGTCCCGCCGCCGCGCGGCCGCCCCTGGGGTGGCCTGGCGCGTCCTGCCGCCGCGCGGCCGCCCCTGGGCCGCTGCGCCGTCGCCGCCGCCGCTGCCGCCAGGGCGCGGGGCGCGGGGCTGGTTCGCTCGGGGGTCCCCGCCGGGGCGCGGGGCGGGCGGGGGAGGGGAGCGGGCGGGCAGGGGCCGGGGGCCGAGCTCACGGGGTGTCCTCTCCCCGCAGCTGCTGCCCCGGCGTACAGACTGGACCGGGAAGGAGCATCCCAGGACCTACCAGAATCTGGTGAGACATTCACGTCGCAGAGCAAAGAAACTTTTCCCTGAGTCGAATAAAAATTGAATTTCCCGCAATTTTTTACAGAGACAAAAACTTGGCCCTAGAACGTGAAAGCTCCAAAGGCCACGGGGAGGGTTGGGAGGCCGGCGAGGGGACTGCGGGGGCCAGTGGCCGGGGGTGCTCGTACTCCGGGGCCGCAGGGGCTGCGGACAATTTATTTGTGATATTTTGTTAATGTGCTAGAAATAAAGATACGTCATGAGTGTTGTGCAGTGCAAGGCCGGAGGAGGAGGGGCCGGCGCGCGCGTCCGTGCGGGCGCGGGGGCGCGCGCGAGTCGGCGGCGGCGGGAGCGGCGCGAAGGGAGGGAGCGCGCTCGCTCGTTCGCTTGCTTGCTCTGCACGCGCGGCCGGCTCGGCTTTCTCCTGCCCTACACAATAGCTGGTGACTAACTGCTCCGAAGTGGCATTAGCATTTCACAAGCAGGCTATCCAGCGGCTGCGGTACCGTGGCAAGACATGATTTTTTTTCCTCCTCTGTCGTTTATTTTGTTTTCACTAAATTCAGTCCTAGGTTTTTTGTTGGAAGGGTTCTGATGTGTGATGATGGTCGGTGATTCGTCTTGCATTTACTAAAACACATCTTTGCAGGATTGTAAAGCCTCTAATTCCCTAAAACCAGAAGTTTAGTAGGCTTTTTCTAATTCTTATGGTATGCCGCTCGTTTAACTAAAAACGATTATTGGAGTACACTGAAGAGTTTTGATTTTTGTCCACATATTTACATTTACTGTGGGATGGAACTCGGCCAGTAAAAGTTGTTGTGCTTACATTGGGACGTATTTTGTTTAATAGCTTAAAAAAGACCTTTTTCTTAATTTTGTGGGTTGTCAAAATGAGTATGTTAGGAATCTTTAAAAATTGCTTTTCAGAAGTGGACCTATCACTTCAGTAATGTGATTGGAAGTTACCTTAAAGGAGCTATGTTATCTATAACATTTTCTCCTATGCTGATAGAGGTTCGTTGTGTGAGTTTGTGTGTGGGGGGCAGTTAAAGCAGTCGCACCGGGCACACCAAGCCTTTGAAATTTATGTAGTGCGTTGATTTTTATGAGGCTTTTGTAACTGTTTCGAGATAGTCATAATTACTAATGTTACTTCATCAGAACTTCTCTAATGACTAGGAAGTTTCAGCGAGCTTAGAATGAATGTCTTTTGTGAGGTGAGGGCAGGACATGATTATAATGGCCTTTTTTTAAATGTAGTGTATTTCCTAACTTTTGTGTATAAATCTCTTGTGATTTAATCTAAGTTGTTGATAACCACTCATGGCTGTTGAAATAAGCAAGGGTACTGAGGTTTAATACATCTAATGGAGATTTAACAGTGTAATTTTCACACTGAACGTATGTTAGTTTTCAAGGAGTGATTTGGGATACTTTCATTCAATTCTTGGCCAAAGTGAATGGAACTGGAAGTAAACTCCAAGATTTACTAATTTGAAATTAACTTTTAGGTTTATAAATATTTGATAGAAGTCTTCAGTGAATTTACATATCTTCCTTGCTATTTGAAAAAATTATCACAAAAGTTATAATACTCCATTTTTAAGATGGGGCAGGTTTTACAAAACGTCTTTGCATCTGCTTTTACATCTGTGCATCTCTTAAAAACCCACAAACCTTCAGTCACGGAGGATTGCTGCGTTTTCTTGAAATCTTTTGGTAATGTTATATTTTTTAAATGAAGCAGCTTAATGGTATCTGGCTAAATTATGGTAATGGCTAATCCTCGTAGGAATATCTTTTTTTTTTTTTTTTCATTAAAAATGGGCTATAAATTTTTTTTTTGGGTTAATTTAATTTTGGGGGAGAGTGTGGGGGGGGAGGAAATATTGGTAAAGTGAATTTCTATCCCTAGTCTGCATCTCAGAGTTAAGATACAATAAGCATTCTTTTTATCTGTGTATTATTCTCAAAATCCACCTATTTTGAATGGAAGTGGTTTTTCTTGCTTGGAGTTTTCTCTTTACTAGAACAGTCATGTTGGCGTACTCATCAATCAGTTTAGAAATCTTATTAGAACTTGGAGTTCTTTGACTCTTTTCATTCATTCAGCATATTGCTTACTCTCTACTGGATGCAAGGTACCATTTGAGGTGCTTTCTCATCCATCAAACTGTGTATCTAGGTGTGTGAATTAACTTTATTTCACCTTTTTAGTTGAGATTTAGGTCTAAAAACATTAGGAACACTGGATTTTTTTGTTCAATAGTAGATCTTGCTGTTTTATATCTAAGTCAGGACACGTAAAGTATCTTGTACAGTATTTTCTATTAATTCTTGTGACTTAAAAAAGTTTTATATTGTTGTGTATCGAATTGAATTTATTTAACATTGGTTTGAAAATTACTTGGTGAGTGAAACTGTAGTTTCTTTAGTTTCTACTCTTCCTGGAAATGATTTGTTATATTAAATAATAAACTGAGCAATATTTTAAATGAGAAAACTCATATATCACATCACATTGAAATTTCTAGAAAACCTCAAATTATAGCTGTTTAAAATGGGGTGTAATATTTGTACATGTGAATTTAAAAATAGGCACTGATCATCTGTAGTCAGTCTAGTTATAATCGCAATGGTTGAATTTTACTCAAGAGGAAAGTAGAATTTTAAGAGCAGTTTTAAAAGTTTACAGGTTAAAATTGATGGATTCATTTCAAGTGTGATTGAGAAAGGAAATGCTCATATCTTATGGTTGTTTCTGTCTCTGGTTTAAAACATGACTGTAATTATCACCATCTACCTTAAGATTTAAAACGTTTTTAACAAAGTAAATGGATAGGAAGCTAAAAATTGTTTTTGGTGCTATGGTATACGTTTAATTAGATTTTACATTTTTAAAAATATGAGATATGTTTTAAAGAACAGGAGCACTTTTTCCAAATATTAGAATTCTTAAACTGTAGAATAAAAAAACTTTTTTTGGACAGAAGGAAAGCTTTGTCATTGTTTATTTCTTAGTTTGAATAGTGAATCTAGTTAGTTTATTAAGTCTGCTTTCTAGTTGTCACTTAATGATGATTGCGTATATATGAGATACAGAGGCAGAGTTTTCAAGCATTTTACCAGATTTGGGACTCTCTTGATTACATTTTTTCTTAGAAGACTTCTCTTTTTTCCCACCAAGAGCTAGTTCATGTTTAGCCAGGCTGTTAAAATGATTTATTTTTTGCCTTGTAAAATAGTGATATTTGCCTTTCTTAAAATTATGCCACTTTATTAGAAATCTTTTTTCTTTTTTTTCATTTTTTAGTGAAAGGATTGGGAGTCAGGAGATATGGATTGTGGTTTTAAGCTCTGCTGACAGTTAACCTGTAGGTAATCTTGGGCAAGTCATGGAATTTCTCTTTGTCCCAGTTATCTCATTTGAAAAATAAGTGGATTGAAATTTTTTCAATCTGAAAATCTGTGATTTTGAACTAGAAATAGCAGTACATTGTATTTAAGAACTAAGCTTTATTTCATTTGTAGAGCTTAATTTTCTAAAACACAGAAAAGTAGAAATCACGTAGGTTACAAAATTATATAAATGCTTTTCATAGTGCCATTCTTTGGTGGTAAATTCATTTCTTGTTGCAAAGATGATTTGAGACACTCACTATGTTGTAAAATGCCCCAAAATTACCATGATTTCCATCATAATTTAAGCACTGGTTTTCATTATTGGTGGTCTCAAATTCAGAGATGAATAGGAACCGTGGATAGGATTTAATTATGTATGTATCTTAGGTATACATTTATTTAGTGTGTGTTGATTAATGTGAAAGTTAAGGTATAAAACCTAGAGACAACTTTCAGGGGAAAAAAGATACCATATTAAATGCTTTAGAATTAGGGATTCCCATTCTATATTGAAGATAGCATAGTTCTTTCAACACTTATTATAATTTTTTGGGGTTGGGGGAACATGTAATAAAGTAAATGTGTGTAGTAGAGTTACTATTTCCTTTTTTAGTAGAGTATCAATGAAATGGAAGCTTTGCATGGTAGTCTCTAAAACAGCGTTAATCTCTCAAGGTTGTTATAGTGATGAATAAAATATGTTAGTTGTGAAGGGTTGTATGATGAATAAAATGTTCGGTGTGAATATGTTGCTGAGAGGCTGAAGGAGCATTCTTCATTCTTTCTTACAAATAGAATTATTCTGTTGATACTTATACCGTTTTTTAAAATTTGAGGCATTTATAAACATTTTTAATTGCAGTGCTTACTGTATTGTTAATATTCTTCACTGTAAAGCGGTGTGAACATAAAGCGGGAGCTGGAGTGTGCCTTTCACAAATTATAATGGTTTTTATTTGTTGTGAGGCAGAATCGTATTGAGGGAGTCTGTTTTCCATTTGGTAAAATGGGCTAATAATAGCTTCTACTTTGTGATCTGTGAGTAATAACTGGCATGAATCAAGTACTATTAAGGCTTTGGGTTTGCTATTATCAGAACTTTAGTAGTGCTATTATCAGAACTTTAGTAGTGTTCCACTTAGATCTTTATAATATTTTAAAAGAAGAACATTTACATTTTTATTTCAAAAACAAGTATGTATGTACTTTCTAAACATAGAATCTGCAGTATAAAAAGACTGCATTAAAACTTCAGAAGAGTCCGGGTGTGGTGGCTCACACCTGTAATCCCAGTACTTTGGGAGGCCATGAGTTGGAGAACAGCCTGTATAAAATGGAAAACCCCATCTCTACAAAAACTAAAAAAAAATTAGCTAGTAGTAGTGGCACATGCCTGTAATCCCAATTACCCGAAAGGCTGAGGTGAGAGGATCGCCTGAGCCCGGGGAGGTTGAAGCTGCAGTAAGCTCTGTCCCATGCCGCTGCCCTCCAGCCTGGGCGACACAGTGATACCCTGTCTCAAGAAAAGAAAAAAAACAAAAAACAACTTCAGAAGATACTATTAATATAATTACTTTATAGACTTAAGGATGAAACAGGCCT